AACATCGCACAAAATAAACTAGAAAAAGTATAATTTAGACGTACCAATTTATTCCCAATTTTGCATGTATTGCCTGTTGTATAAGTTTGGTCCAATCTAGCCATCCAATCTTGAGATATCCTATCCAATAGATAGGGATAGATGGACGGACAGAGGCAAACCAAACACCCTGCAATGGGGTTGATAATAAAAGTGAAAATAGCGTCAAAAAATTAAAATGGTATTTCATTGACGGTGATTTGACATCAATAAAACTTCAGAAATCAATAACTAAAGTTTACTCCAAACTATTTCTATATGTAACAAAAAATCATTATTTAACGCAACACGAAATAGGTTAAAGACAAAAGTCAAGGTTTCATTTGAGTTTAGGGTTACTATGATACCTGCAGTGTACTACATATTTAATATATCTTCTACACTCTACAATATAACGTCGTTCAAAGGGAACGTTTAATATATAGCACGCGTAAGGTAAAGAAATGTAAACTGAAGATATAAAACATATGAGCATTTTACTTGGCTAGAACGAGACACCACTCATACACCTATACCGTAGACACGTGGTTTGTCTCGCGCTGCACGCGTGTCATTTGAATATTCAACAGGTGTGAATCTCTACGAACTCCAACGTCACCTTGTATAGTTTAGTGCTTCTGGTTGGACAGACAAGATCGCTATAAGATCACATTGTTTTCATGTACTCACGCATGACGGATTTAGTCACTACGTGATCTATGTTGTGGTGGATCGCAAAAGATAGCTTGCTGTGGTGGTTAATGTTGTTTACCATGTCGGCATGAATAAAGAAGTTCAGTCTAAGCCTCTCTCTTAAGAGTTTGTTAGTACCAGTTCTTTGTCTCCGGGTTGATTACTAGCCTCGAGAGTATGGTAAATATTGAACGTGTGCTAAATGATGACTGGAAAAAACCTGCATTGTTGTTATACAAACAACTACCCTAGGCAACAGAGCTTTCTCTTCTCTATGTCATTCAAAACAGGTTATAAATTTAGCTGTTTAAGCCACTTTTTCAATCCTTTCCCCGAATAAAATGTCTGGAAGATTTTAATATCATCATGTAAAGTTTTTTATTAATGTAATTGCAGCTGAGAAGGTGAAGTTCATATTTTATTCTGTTCCAGACTATTCCGTCAAGATTATTTTACGAAACCAAAACCTATTTGTGGTGCCACCTGATTCTCAGAAATATTTCTTGGGTTACATCGATTTTGTTGCGTGTAAGCGGTGCCAATTATAAGTAATGGTAACTTGATATGGTGTGTGGCTTTACCAGTTACCTCAATCCCCCAGTCTAAATATAATACATTTTTTTTAGCGTCGTATATCTATAACACTAACCAGTATCAACATTTGATAACTTTCAGTTTCTTTTCCTTCTGACGACTATAGTAAACTCTCCCAATTAAATGTGAATTATCAGATATATTATAAATTATAGATATTTGAAAAAAAGAAGAAAGATCCCTGATTCAAAGTTAACAACCTTCAGATTATACTGTGATATTTTACAGAAATAGAGTATTGACATGCTCTGGAAAACGTTTGTTCAAATTAACACCATTCGTTAGCGGTTTGTGTATATGCCAAACTTTTTTAAAAGTTTACCAAGTTATTTACACACAATTCTTTTTCTTACATCGACTTTCGTTATCAGTTTGTATTTTTAGACTTTATCTGTGTTTATTATGGGAGTTATTTACAAATTACACAAAGTCATTACTGAACAAACATTCTTATTATATAGCACTATGGCTTGAAATGGAAATATTTTTAAAGGTTAAGTGGCATCTTATGTAAGAAAAAAACAAACGAACTTTAGTTGTAAAATATATATATAAACGATAACCATGCTATTAGATTTTCATTCAAACAGCTCTAAATGGTGATTGCTATTTTTCTTGTCTTAAGAGCAGAACTTGAAATACGTTCTGTCGAATGTATGAACTCAATACTTCTGTATAAAAATAAATGCTAGAGGTATCTCACACTTTACAGATTTTAAAATTCAAAAACAGTTGAAATGGGATAGAAAAAATGCATCATTTAAAAACAACGTTTCGCCACTGTTAAAGTGGGGTCATCACACCATAGCAGTTGTTTTTAAATGATGTATTTTTCAATCCCATTTTAGCTGTGTTTGAATTTTAAATTCAATACTCCTGTATGCTGTATTTGGTGATCCAGACGCAGAAACAACGAAAACAAAACATCTTGTTTTTTTAGAGAAGTACGTTTACATCTTGAGTTGATATGGCGAGAAAGTTAAATATTTACTCTAGAGTTCACACTAAGTGTAAGTGATTACGTTTACATCTTGAGTTGATATGGCGAGAAAGTTAAATATTTACTCTAGAGTTCACACTAAGTGTAAGTGATTACGTTTACATCTTTTTTTTTTGTTTTTTTACTTCATTCACAATTTGCATGTTGTACGTGTATTATAACTTAATTGATATTAAGTCATGTTGGACCGCCTCAAACTGATTTAAAAAAGCAGACGTGAAATAAAAACACTATTATAACATCAAATTAGTAAACAGTAGTCACATAGAAAGTTGGGAGAACTTATTAAGCATTTTCAGCATAACTTGAAACCACAATTAGCATACGTGCATAATAATTATAAGTGTAACTCATAATTAACGGCATCAGACATAATAATTATGTTATCCTAATGAGATGTCACTGAAAGAAAAATTTTAATTTTTCTTAACAACTTTTTTTTTTTTTGCAACTCTTCCACTTCTACTCACCCCTAACAGAAATGTCAATACGTAATCACTTACACTTAGTGTGAACTCTAGAGTAAATATTTAACTTTCTCGCCATATCAACTCCTCCGCTTTTAAGGCATGCTTTTTTATTATTTTCCAGTTATGAATAATATCATTAATCAATGATAACTTAAAAACCTGCTGTATTAAAAATAAACCAATTCCCAGCATACCCGGAAAGGGCAGTAATCCTTTACCTGACACAGCTTTGAATACGTGTACACGTAATTATAGTTACTCCTAGTAACGTCAATACAGATGCGGTACAGGGATTATAGCATATAACTATATCTGGTATGGGTGCGCTAATACCTTTACAAAAATGTATAATTACGGACGTGCTAATCTTAATCACTAGAACGCTAAGCAAAGTAACGTTACTGTTTTATATAATTATTAGAACTAACCTCATAAATACATCTAAATAATTACTGGAATTTACTTCTGCATTTCGGGAAAATGCGCAAATTTTACAGCTCTCGTGTATTACTAACGGAGATGGTAGAATAAAGCTTTTTTTTTTCTACGTAGATATGAATGGTAGGAGTCACATGACAATGGCGAAAACCTAACGTCCTATCTTATATACACTCGTTACGATAAAAAGATTTGAATTAAACTCTTTAAGCGTCATTATTTCCCAAACTGCATACCCGAGTCCCTAAACATCGATTGGCTGACCTCGTGAGATTTGACGAAAGTCTTGGAAATTTTCCCTGCAGTCTCAAAAGGTTAATAGACCCACTTATTTAGCATTTTACATTTCGATACTGTCTGCGAAGGTCAACTTCATTCATTTCAACTGGCTAGAGTTTATACAACTTGTGATCTTTTACACAACAACTGGTTCAAGTTTGTTAAGATAACCACCGTAGATACACTCTAACTTG